GCAAGCAGTGTAACCCTAATCAAGGGCTTATACTATCGTAGTCATGAAAGTTATGGACCGATATCTGCGTGTAAGATATCTCTTCCTTTTTTTTATCACTCTCATTTGTTGGGGTTCAGATCACAATTTCAAACTTGTTTTATAAAACTTTTTTATAGGCATATAATTGATAGAATCAATCCTCTAAAATGTAGGGATGTTTTTGGCTTACAAAACACAAAACAAAATTTCTACCAATCGTTCGACCCACGCGCCCTCCTCGAGACAAGGGGGGACAGTGGCGAAACAAGTGTGTTCGCGCGCGCGCACAGTTGTCTACCTGTGTGAACATGTGATCCGGTGCACTGTTGATTCACCACACCCTGATCAGCCTGTCCCGTTTGACCGGTCAGCTTAAACCCTGAACCCGATCGGAGTTTTGTTCCCTACTGGTCTGGTCTAATGCGACTCGGTTCTGACTCTGATCCACTTCGTGCGAATAAACAGGAGCATGTGAGTCTGAGTCAGCCGTCCGTCGCTCTACTTTCCATAGGTAAGACCATAACCGTAGATACACAAATTGGATGTGTTGGCACCGAACGGTTTGATGAATGCTTCAAATCGGTTTTGTGTGATCCATACAAAGATCGAACTGGCATTAAAGGATTCGGTCCAGATGTTCCCACCGGGCTTATTGGTCGCTCTTTCGAGCTCCACACGTAGAACTCCGTATTCACTGTGGATGCAGTTGCCCGATTCTATGGTGAATTGTTCCTATCGATTCACAAAAAGCCTTCAACTGACGTTTTTTCGTGTTAGTAGTTAGGCTGGGACGGGGTGGATAGGGAGCACGTCAACGCTCAATTGTAGCACTTGAATAACATCCAAGCAAATCTAACCATGTTGCAATCATTTCGTCTCTTTTCATAAAAAAACGCAACCAAAATTCGCAAAGCTTTCTCTACATTCTCTTTATTAGTCGCGGATCGATCATAGATCTTATAAAGCCTCATCAACTTGTTTCCAATCTGAAAGTAAACACATCCAAATACGATGCAAAGTGATTTGATTCAACCGGTTTTTTTATACTTGCGACGCCTAGTCACTTTCTCAAAAAATATACTTATTCCGTCTGCCGTCTCGATGCCACACCATAGCCAAAAGTGGTGGTGATTTAGTCTCGTTCTTTGGACTCTATAGTCCGAGATTCGAGCCCCGACACCATCACCTAATTTATGTGG